CACCCCCCTCGTTGACTGCTTCCTTCTCTTGCAAGAGCTGGCCTTGTTTTCACCATCCAGGCATTGCTGATGAGAGGAGAGAGGGCTGAAGGGAAGAGATGTTCTCTTGCGGTTTCTTCCCTTGCATCAGCTACTTTCCCACATGTGTAGGTATAGTTCACGTACAATCAGAGAAATGCCTCTTGCCAGGAGTGGAATGACCATTGGGATTGCTGGCTGTCTCAGAAGAATCCCTGTGTCAAGAGTCTTATGAGAGGAACGGGTGCTTGGTAGGAGATACTGGTTCAGCGTTTCTTTGTGCAAAGGAGTTGGGAGCACACTTGAAAGCATGACTTTTGGGAGAAGAGGTTAAGCAGGTGTGAGTGACTGGACTAGTGTGCAGTGCTGTACGTGAATGTTGGTAGAATGGATGTTTGGTTGTGATATAGAAAAACAATTTACAACTGCTGGTGTAGACCGACTAACTTCAAAACAAGGCCAGAGAAGAAGTTTGATCTAGCTTGAAATGTATATGTTTAAACCAAATACCTGGAGATGTAAAAGTCCTGAAAGATTGACTTTTGCTTGAAATCTTTAGCCCCTTTTGATATTTTATGTCTGGAGTTTAAGGCATGTCTGCTTGTGTTTCTGTGTTAGGAAATCAAGATATGATAATCAGAAATATTTTAAATAAAGGGACGTGATGTGCATGGGATGTTGTGAAGGCCAAGACCATTGCAGCGTTCAGAAGAGAACGAGAGAAATTCATGGAGCGTAGGTCCCTTAGTGGGTATTAGCCAAGCTGTGCAGAGATGGTGTCCCTAGCCTCTGTGTGCTAGAAGTTGGGAATGGGTGACGGGATAGATCACTTGATTTCCTCTTCTGCTCATTCTCTCTAGAGTGCCTGGCATTGGCCACTATCGGAAGACAGGATCCTTGACTCGATGAACTGGTGATCTGACCTAGTATGGCTGTTTTTACTTTCTTAAGTTAAAGGTCCCTCATGCTTATTGTAAAATATGAGGAGAAAGGATCTTTGTGCTTCCAAAATGGCCCTTGTAACTTGACTTTTTTTGTTCACAGGGCTCACACCTTGGGTGCTGCTGTTTTGAGGTAGAAGAACAGAATTTAGGGCAGTGCTTTGGGGGACTGATCCAAAACCCGTGGAAGATGAAGTCTTTCCATTGACTTTAATGGGCTTTGGATCAGATCCTAAAAGCAATGCTTGTCTTATCCCCCACAACCCTATTCTCTCTCTCCCTCCTTTGTTTACTTATTTTATCTCCTATCAAGTTAAATGTTCGCATAATTGCAGTGTTTTCCAATTATGTACTCTATGGTCAAGACTGCACAGGCTGCAGTTGAAATCCTGCTGGATGTTATCCAGCAAGGATTACCTGAACAAAGAATGTTGTTTCACTAACTTAGTTACATAGCAACTGAACTGCTAAAAGTCTAATTACATTTGAAAATAAATGTAGCTGGCTTCTATACTGTGGAGTCCCTGAAAAAATCCAATGTTGAGGGCTTTATTTAGCAGGTAGGGAAGACAGATTTCAGTGATGTGGAAGCTAGTGTTTGTTTTATCTGAATCTGTTTGTAAGGACCAAATCCAACTCCTATTGAAACGAAGGAGTATTTCCATTGACTTGTCCTACCTGCAGTTGGATCAGGTTCTAAATTGATTAGAGATTTAAAATCCCCTTGAATCAGTTAACTGGTTAAACATTGTTTTAACTGCTTACTGCTTACATAGAGGCAGGTTATGATTGTGAGGTGCTTCCTAAAGGTAGCCATCACAGCCCCCAGTATAGGAGGGCTAGATTCTCCCCCGCCTGGCCCTTTGCGTTGTCACACACATGTGCAAAGCGAGTGTTCTAGACCATTATTCTGATTTGTTAGTGTTTTGCACCCACTCTACAGAGGTGCAAAGGACCGTGTAAAACGGGGGTGGATCAGGCCCCAGATCTGTGCTTCGGAACCAACAGTTCTAATTCTGCGCACGTTCAAGCAAGTGGGAGTTTTGCCAGTGAGTGTGGGATTGGACCCTACTGTGTGAATTAAGTCTGCAGGCCTTGTGATCTCTCACTGGTTTTACAGCTGGGTAATTCCAGTGGAATTACTCCTGCCTTACTATGGCCTAAAAGTCTTCCCCTGAGAAGAGGTGTCTGGGGGAGGGGGGAGAACAGTAAAGGGAAAAAGTACAGCAACTATCCAAACAATTCCAGAGCATGTAAAAGGCCAACTTCACTTCTGCTTTGGAAACTTTCCCATGTGACTGCACTTCAATAAAGATTAATTCTGTGTAAATCCCAAACTGACCCATTAGCAGCCAACATCAAGGTATTTGTTATTATTTGTAAATATTTTTAACCTGTTTAGAATAATTCACTGGGAACTTGAATCTGAAATGTTTCTTATGAAATTCTCTCGATTGACTGTTACTTTGGTTCATTATTGGGTTTGGCTAACAAGCTTAGAGGCTTTGTTCGCTTTACTTTGAACCACTTTATTTTGGAAGAGTCTCAGAAGAGGTGATTCAGGCTATGCACAGAGGTGTATACATAACTTAAACTGTAGTTGTAGGTGTAAGTGGTATTGACGAGTTTAGGCCTTATGCCTCCTGGGGTGAATAACACCTATTAAAAAGTGCAAGAATCTTGCAACAGACTAAAACAAACTTGGTTTAGTCTTCCTTAAATTTGTGGTAGTAGCATACTGAATCTGCCTTTTCAAAACAAACATGTTGGATTGGCAGGAATCAGTTTTCTCTTGTCATTCTATGTATGCTCTTACATTTGTCAGAAATAGTAGTGGGTTATCTTACTATAAAATTTGAAAGAAGCATGGTCTATGTTGTGTATACTTCTAATAACTGCAGTCTTTGTAAATAGCCTGGCCAGGAGTTGGCTAGCCTCCTCTGTATTGTGTTTCAGATTTCACAAGAAAGCACTTAACTTAGTTCAAGGTTTAAATACTTTCCCATGGACTTACATTTGTAGCATGAATTCTTTTGCCTAAATGACTTGATTGTACCAAGAAATCTGAATTTAATTTTTTTTCCTCTTGAAAACATCTACTCTCTGAGCTCTATTAAAGAGTCTATTTAAAAATGTTTGGGGGAGTTGGGGTAAAATTGTAACACAACATCTAAGTTTTAGTTCAGAAAGCTGTTGGGTTAAGGGGAACAAACCCTTCCTTTCCATTTGTTTGTTTTTGTGCATTTGTGGGAAGGTTTTATAAGGGAATGGGACTTGTGGTCTTAAATTCTGTAGGCTTGTGTGGGAAACTTCCTCCTTGATTTATCTAGATTGCAGGGCGTTTATGCCTTATTCTAAGCTAATGAATTTTATATAGATTCCCGTGAGTGCTCCAGCTGAACTGGTGTTAATGGTGGATGGCTTCAGGTTAGCTGAGCTTTGTCTGTGGTAGCGCGAACACGGGTCCATTTGCCTTGGGATATCACTGGTGGGGTACTTTGCATTTTAACAGTATTCCTTAGCGTAGACTTGGCATTAAAAATTGACATGTGCAGTATGGATGCGAACAGGTAACTGGTTACACAATAAGTATCACTCTTCAGTGGGTGATGCTTACCTGGCAAGCTACCCAGAAGTAACCACCCGCCTCTGCCGGGCCGTGGAGCAGGGGCTGCTAGTTCCCAGCCCATGTGGGCTGGGAGTCGGTAGCCTTGTGTGGGGCCAATAGTGCCAGCTGGGGAATGCACTGGGGTGAGGAGGAAGCCGTCAGTGTAGCATGGGGCTGGAAGCAGCCCGGCTGGAGCAGTCCCTACTCACTCTGGGGACTGCTCCAGTCCCTTCACCCCTGTTTAATCAGTTAACTGGTTAACCAGCCAGTTAAAAGTTTAGTTTAGACAGGGAGTGCTGAAGTGACTTACAAATCCAACCGACCTCAGTTCTTAGTTCTTTCGCTGGTGTGGGTCTGCTTTCAGGATCCCTGACAATGGATTTCAGATGGACGTAGTTTTTCTTTCTAGATGTGTTCTTAGTGGGAGTACTATTTGGTTAAAGCCCTTTGATCGTCCTTGTTAATCACTTTAGGAAAATCACTGGTGTCTAGGTGTCGTGCCCAGACCAGGGATGTTAGATGATTTTTCAATTAATCACTAACTGCATCACATTTTAGTGGTTTCGCTGCTGTTCGATAGTCCGTGGGATGGGGCTGGCAGCTAGTGCGCTCTATTCCCGGGGAGCCCCCTGCCATCCTGTGCTGCTCCATCTGTATCAGAGGCAGCAGCACAGGGTGGCAGACGGGATCTGGTCTGTCAGGGAAGCAGATGTTTAAAAACCAGCTCCCCATGTAGACCAGCGTCTGCCTGACACCCCTGTCCATGGGGGAGGGGGACAAGCTTCCCACGGACAGAGGCTGCTCTGTGGCAGCTTCCCTTGCCCCCGCCTCTGTCGTGGGGGGAGGGACAAGTGGCTCTCCCCGAGCACTGGATCCTGCCTCGCCCGCCCCCTCTCCTCCCACTGTCTTTGTGGGAGGCAGCAGGGGGAGGGGCAACAGGCGGCTTGTGTGGGGAGCCAGCCTGAAAGCTGGCTTCCTGCATATACCAGCTCCTGCTTGCCCCCCCCCCCCCCGCCCCCCCCACCCAATAATTAACCAGTAAGCCCAGGCTTATTGGTTAATCGTGTATTCGAGTACACGTTGAAATCGCTAGCCCAGACTTTAAACCTCTGTGTGATTGCACATAATTTATTCAATAACCGTCCAAAGTGTGTTAGACAAAATCACTTAATTCTTACTGCTGTTTGTCCTCCCATTTTCACTCCTTTTCAGTATCCCACAAGGACAGCATTGTGGAAGATTAATGTAGACCGTTTCCTTTTTTTTTTTTTTTTTTAAAGCATTCATTTCCAACATTTGTCAGGGGCTCAATGGCAAAATTGCTCTGCTCTCCTCTTTCTCAGTGATTTTGTAAATAGTTCCATTTCGTGCAGTCCTTGAGCTGCAGAAGTCTATACTCCTGTGTTTAAATCTGTCTTGCCCAGGTGTGTCACTGGTTTGTTTACCTTTGCAGGTAGCTGTATCCAGTTGGGTGATAGGCGGATCCAAGGATCACCATGAAGTTTTCAGGGTCCCTGGAGAGCCAGAGGTTGTCTCTCCTCCTGGAGATGGCAATCTCTAGAGAAGCTCAGATGTGGAAAGTGCATATGCCCAAAATTCAGCTCAATCAGGTAAAGTCTCTCCTGTTCATCGTTTTGCTCTGTGGGGCTGTTTCTTGGCATAGTTTTCAGTAAATAACTGAACCCATTACATGAGAAGTGATCCTATTGCTCGGGGGAAGGTTAACCTGCTGTTCAGTGTAATGATTAATGCTTTGTTTCAGGAACATACCCATAGTCTAAGGCACAGAATGTGCTGTAGAGAATAGTGCTAAGTCGCTGCTCTTCTTTCTAGTAGGACGCATGCATGTTTTGGTTTAATTAAATTGACTCTGTGACTTGCACTGCTAATTAATACACGTTTGCTGCTGTACAGTTAATTTGAAAAGCAACTCAGTTGTATTAGGTTAAGTGTAACTTACAATATTGTTGCTGAAACCCTAAGCAGTTGTCTGAAGTGCCCTGTGACTGCTCTCTGAATTACTGTTGGCATTCACTCAGCATGTAGGCAGTCCCTCTTGATATTTTTTTTCTTCTTTTTCAAACCTAGAGCCTGATTCTGCCACCCTTACTCAAACTGGGCTAGATTGCCATGTAACGTAGGTTGGTGTTACTCCATTGACTTCAATGGAGTTACTCTGGTTTACACTACCTGAGGATCTGGCGTGATGAATAATCCCCTACTCCAGTGGTTATCAAACTGGGTCAGGACTCCAGAGTGGGTTGGGACCTCCTTCAAATAGGGTTACCAGGGCTGGCTTAGGCTTTGCTGGGCTCTGGGGCAGCATCCCGAGCCCCACTGCCCAGGGGGTAAATCCAGAGCTTGAGGATTTGGGCCCTGTGCTTCAGCTATGGCCCCCTGCCCAGAACAGGGGGCTCAGGTTTGCCCCACACACACACCTGGAGCAGTGGGGCTTGAGTGGGCTCAGGCGTTGGTCCCCCCCCATCATGGGGTAATGACGTAACTTTGCTTGTCAGAAGGAGGCGCACAGTACAGTGAAGGTGGGGCAGCCCCACCCTACTCCGTGAGTAGCCCCATTGATTGGTTTCAGAGGAGGGTACTATTTAGTTTAAAGGTGGCAGAACTGGGCACAGAATTCTCTTCAGTAAACCATAAGTTTCTGCTTGTGTTTGGTATACCAAAAAACACCACCTCACGTTTTTGTTTGACTGGCCTCGGTGCTACACAGCAAGTGTAGTTCGATTTAAAACAAAATATCCCGGTGATAGGGTGAGGGATTGGACCTTCCTATTCTTCCCTCTTAAAAACTGGGAGCACATCAAGTCATATTCTTGGGACTCTTTGTGACTGACAGCGGTATTGACAAGTTCTGGAACAAAAAAGGTCCATCCTCTAGGTTGGTACACAGCAAACACATTAGTGCAGGCGCTCAGTAGCTTCCATTGGCTTCAGGCATTGACCAGAAACCAATATCTTAGCCACAGATCTTCATCTCTATGCAGGCAGTATCCAGAACCCTAATTACACATGTGCCAAGAAGTAGTTACTTGCATTCAAGGCATCAGTCATTCTTCGCAACAACTATTGCATTCTAAAATTGGTTTAGTACACACTGATGTATAGGTTCCCCAACCGTGGTATGTCTGTGTGGTAATGGTAGTTTGAATTCAATCTTTACACCTTGCTGTAGCTGCCTGGTAGTACAGTAGTCTTGCTCACGGTCATCTTTGGGGCCTCTTCTTCTGTGTTAGTGACTATTTCAGGACCTTATCTTGAGAGGTTGACCTAAAATGAGGGGTAGGGTGCTCTACTTTCTGCAGGATAAGTACAGATTCAGTGACATTGATTTGACTTAATCATGTTTCTGGCCATCTGCAGCTATGAAAATGGGGAGGCAGTGTTATTGGAGTCTGTGAAACGTCAGAATAGTGTAAAGCCATGGAAACAGTCTTGGTTAATACTTGTGATTCTTGCAAAAATCCTACAGTGTTTCTTTTCAGTAGAACTTGCAGTTACAGAATTTAATGATTCAGGGCTTTTGTTGTAGTATGCCATGATGCCATTACACATAAGGATGACTTAGTTAATTCTTATTGCCAAGTTACTGGCCTTGAAAAGGTTTTTGGAAGCGCTTGGGTGGACTGCTACAATCTTAGAAGTTCATTAAAATCGCATCATTTTAATTATCTTGCATCTTTCCATACTTCAGTTCAGACATGATTAGCTCCGCTGGAATGCCAGACTGCTTTGACGCAATATGAAATGTCATTTTCTAGCATTAGTTATTTCAGTGAAAATAATCACTAAAGCAGGCTGAAATTTAAGCCTGAGGGGCAAAAATATATGGTAATCAGATTTAAATGAATAAAGAGAGAGCACATGCTGACATGTAAAACTGCGTGTTTTTGTAAGTTCTGGGTGTCTGATAATTGAAGCTCTGTAGTGTCATAAAATATTCCTTTCTAGTGCTTTTACTGTTCATGAGACACTGGACTTCAAACGGTCTCAAATCATTTCATTTTATCAGTGCTCATTTTGGCACTGTTTCAGTCATAAAGTTCAACCCACATTATTGCCATAAACCTTCTGTTATCTGAAACGGGTAAATCTTCCCTACCATCTATTCACTTCATTGAAAAGAGTCTCATTGAAAATAGTCTCAATCGACTGAAACTGCAATAACACAAAATTGTTTGTCTCCCTTGGCAATCAGAAAACCTAAGACATACTGAATAGCCAATCCTGGGACTTTGTGGACACTTAATTTTCATTGCCTGTTCAAGCATCAACTCTATTTTGATATGGTAGCTTGGTTTCCAAATGAAGAAACATGTGAAGATAATCTTATGATTAAAACTGACAATATATTTTATAATTTTTCCCCCACTAATGACAATTGCACTAGGGTCTTGGCTGTGTTCAGTTTTAATGGAAAGGGATACATGGTTTCTACACCTTTGTTTTGCTATAGTTTCTATCCTTGGAAACAAAAATACAGGTCGAACCTCTCTAATCGGGCATTCTCTGGTCCAGCAACATCTAAACCAGCTTGATTTTAGTTAACGGGATGTCCTCTTATCATGGTTTGGCACCATTCAGATCTTGAGGGTGCTGAATTGGAGACGTTCAATCTGTATGTGATAAAGGTATTACTCTATTTGTACTGCAGTCTGGTGGGGATTTCTGTCCCAGATATGTTTTGGAAAGCCCCATTCCCTGACGACAAGTGTGTTTCTTTTGGTTTTCCTTCTGACTTGTGACACACTGACTCGGCCTATGTTTGGTAGCTCTAAGTCAGAGTTTGAAGGGGTTTTTCAGTCCAGAAAAGATGTCTGGCTTGTGTGTTTAGAGACACTTTGCGCTTTGTTAGCACTATTAAGTTGTTTGTTCACACAAATATACATATATACAATATTTTATTGTGTGTATATTGTATATCATGGTCACATGAAAGGAGGGTGACTGATTCTCATGCGGATAGGATGAGAGTGAAAGTTGGAGAGTCTGATCAAAGGTTAATTTTCTTGTTAACAAATAACATGCTATGGCAGTTTCGGCCAGGAAAATTTTTTTTTTAAAGAAACTTGATGCCATTTTATCTTTCGTTTTCCATTCCCTGCTTGTTCTGATCCCCTTTTTACATTCCTTGTGATCAAGAGGCTTCAGTTCATTCCCGTTTTTTTTTTCCCATTGCCTTACTATGTGACCTTGGACAAGTCACTTTTAACCACTTTATCCTTTTGCTACCCCATCTGCAAAATGGAGATTATGCTGTTTACCCAACTTTCTAAAGCACGGTGAGATTAGTGGATGAAAACCTCTAAGTGCAAAATAGTATTTTTGCCTCTTCAGATGTCTATTTCAAAGGTTGCCATGCACATTAAGGAGATTGTACTGCTTATGAATTTCGCAGCTGTCATTACACTGGAACGAAACACTATAAATTATCACCATTGAAGACTTCATAGAGATGCCCGCATCCGATTTCGTGCTGGTGCAATTGAGAAACAGAGCCGCTGAAATCAGTAGTGACACTGGTTTTACACGGGAATATCTGAGATTGGATCTTGATCCAAATTCCATACTGCTATAGCTGCCCTTTAAAAGTCTGCCAAGTGCTGATAAAGATTATTGCTGCTCACAAAACAACCTTGTGAGAGAAGACTAGGAAAGAACAAATCCCAGGAATTCACTGGCTTTTTATTTCACCCTCTCAAATATTTTACCTGAATTTGAGGTGTGAAAACTTAGTAGCATTGAGTTGCTAGGAATGTAAAGTTTGGTTTTCAAAGGTGTCTAAGGAAGTGTTCAGTGGGATTTTATTATTAGTGTTGCAGTAGCACCCCCAGAGCAGTAGTTGTGGACTGAGACTCCAGTGTGATTGACACTGTATCAATGCAGAACAAGAAGGCAGTCCTGGTTGCAAGAGACTTCCTGCCTAACAGCAAGGGGAGACCACAGAGAGGGGAGCACAAGAAAACAGTGAGGCAATACTGATCAGCATAATAGGCAGCGGGATTGTCACTCCAGCAGCCGAACCGTGGGCAAGCTTTTGGGTAGGGAGTTGGTCCAGAGATTTGGGTACCTAACGTCACTAAATCCCTGTGAAATCCCTATTTGTAAAGTGTGCATGTGAGGTTGGAGTGAGGGAAGACCGCAAGAAGTCAGTGTGGTTAGCCCACAAGTGTAGCAGTATGTCTCTGCTCTGGAGGACAGCTAGGTGTGACAGTAGGTAGGACTTTGCTGGGGGCGGGGTGGGGGCTGAGGAGAAGGGCATCTTATTTTTTTAATCTGGATTTAAACAGTAGTGTAGAAATAACAACCGCCTGTGCAAAAAGTTCGAGGCACCTTCACAATTAATCCCCTCCCAACCTTAAAAACTGAAGTGCGGCTAGCACAAAACTGGCCTTTCAGCAGCATTATGCAGTCAGAGACGGTAAAAGATTAATTCAGCCATTCAGTATCAAAGCAGTATAAAACCCCCTTTCCAGCCTCACCATTTCCTCGACCATGCCTTCAAGCCTTCCCTCTCCCCAGGTGTCAGTTTTTTGGTTGAACTGAAAATCAAAATAACTTTATAAATTCATGCCGACACTTCTGAATGTCTACG